CATAATAGACTGAGAACCAGAGGAACTATGGTCTGAAGCCAGGGACGTGATAAAAGAAAAATGCAGACACTTTCAATAAACAAAAAGAAAGAGAAAAAAACATGGATGATAGAAAACACTACAAACAATAAAGAAAAGAAGAGAAGAAAAACAAAAGGGAGATGGAAAGAAACTAAGAATTGTGAATGCCACAGTACAACAGTTTGTGCGGAAAGATAAAGAAAATTACTACAATGACCAAGGCAGAGAAAAAGAAGACAAGAACAAAAAGAGATCTATTTCACAAGATCTGGGAAATCAAAGGAAAATTCAAACCAAGGACTGGGATGATCTATGACAATAAAAATAACATAATTCAAGACCAGGAAGGAATAAAGAGACACTACTGGACTTTTCCTCACAGTCTGACTCCCACTGTCAGCAACCGTCTCCTTTTTCACTTCAGACTTTGATTTGATTGGCTGCCGCCAGCTCTCTTTCTATTGGTTGTTGCTAGGGTTGGCACAATTCTGCCTTCTCTCCATAGATATCTGGGCAGATTTGGCATCTGGGTTTGTGGCAATAAAAGGAGAAATTGATAAAGTTGGAGCACAGGGAACTGACTAGAATAGATCAGTTGGCTAGTTCGTCTAGCTGGCATTGTTACTGTAAAAACTGCCTCTTCAGGATAAGGATGGAAATCATATTGATTACTTGTTTCTCTGCAGAATAATCAGTCCGTCCCCCCCCCAAAAAAACAACAACCAAGAAACTCTGCAAGTAGAATAGAGCAGGTGCAAAAGTACTTCACAGTTTGCTAAATCTTTGGAGGGAATTATCCTATACAAATTATATATGTGACTTGACAGAGCATTGTTTTTTTGTTTGTTTTTATAAAATCATAGAGTTGGAAGACACCACATCCAGTCCAACCAGTATGTTTTGCAGAGAGCCAGCATAGCATAGTGGTTTGGGTGTTAGACTAGAACTTTGGAGACCAGGGTTCGATTTCCCATTTGACTATTTGACTTGGGCAAGTCACATGATCTTAGCTCTCAGGGAAAGGCATTGGCAAACCTCCTCTGAAAGCAAACTACAAATCCCAGGATTCCACAGGAGGGAACCATGGCAAAGCTGTCATGCAGTGTCAAATTGCATTCTCTGAGAGAATAGCAGGATAATACTACACAGAGATCTTCATATTCCCAATAACATACTATAGAAATTATTTACCCTTACATGTGAAGGTAAGCAATGCATAAATTCACATCTCTGCTCTATGATTTCAGGCTGGGGTCCTTTTGATCCTTTCTTTGAGGTGATAAGGATTTAAATAGGGAAGGTTTACATTTAAAGAAGGTGGTTTATCAGTAAATCACACAAAACATCATGGAATACAGAGAATGGATAAGATGGTCTACTCTCTTTTTAATGGGGATGAGTGGGAGAGAATCCATCACTTCACAGAAAGAATTCTTTATATGAACCATGTTGTCTGTAGGATTCTGGGCACTGTGGTCAAAAAAAGTAACTTTTCTACTCTGTGATGGAGATGGAGTTTTTCCAGCAATTACCAGATTCAGGTGAATGAAAAGGATTCTTTTTCTCCCCCTCAGAGGTTGGAAGCAGAGGTCTGGTATGGTTTGTGCCTTTGGAAATGGCATGTATTCTTCATAATTCTTGAGAAATGGGATCATGTATTTCTTACTAATAAAAAATAACCTAATATCTTCTCACTGGAATACCAAATGTGGAGCATTGTTTGGTAACCCTACATCATTTTTATCATGCTGTTATTGCTCTTTATATTCTGCTATAAACAGCTCAGCAGTCCTGTTAGTTCCTTTAAAGCACTGCAGTTTTAAGTTTCCAGTGAATAGTCCAAAGGCTCTGTTTGTGAACTTTAAGGCTTTTCCATCATTGCTTTTCCTTTTGTTTCATTAGTCTCTGTATCAGGAACAATTTTAAATAGTTATGACTCCAGGGCAAGAGCCTTGTTTGATATGTCTAAGTGTCTCTTTTAAGCCTTTTCCATGCAATGCCAATGAATTGTGCATTCATAAGATATAGAAAGAACTGGGCTCTGTTGAATTGCCCAGAGTCTCAATCTGCCATCTGCACAGAGATCTGTTGTTGTTGTTGTTGTTGTTGTGGCAACCATATCATACGGTTTTCTTGATAAGTTTTTCAGTTGTTTTTATGAGCTTTCAATTGTTTTGGAGTTATGGCAACCCTATAATTGGTTTTCTTGGCAAGTTTTTCAAAGGGGGTTTGCCATTGCCATCCTCTGAGGCTGATCAGTTTGTTCAAATTACATTTTTGCACTACAGATCCCATAATCTGGGGGCCATGCTGGCTGGGGGACTCTGGGAGTTGTAGTCCAAAATCTAAGTTTACCAACCTGTGTCACAGATGCAGTGGTGATCCCTTGTGGAACAGAGAGAACTGGAAGAAGTCAGAGAACAAGGTGTTGTGCCGTATTATATCATATCACTGCATGAATTGCTTTATTTACCATGTTGTTTCCCCAAAGCTGTCAAGGGGATGGACAAGATGAAGAGAAATGTATGTAAAAATGCATTTAGATAAAAATATATAAATATTATGTTTGAAATGACATCAGACCATTTAAAATATATCCTTTTAAAAGCAAAGGATAAAAATAGTACAGTTCACTCATAATGCCCTTGTAGATCAGTTCCCCAAACCCTGTTGGAATAAAAAAGTCTTCATCTGCCAATG